GTGGAGGGACTCCGTTCCCTGGTGTTTGGCTTGTTTCCTGCTGTAGCATCTTAACGAACCGTGAGGAGCTCAGGTAGTCTTTCCTCTTCTGTCAGATATTAATAGAGGGGCCTAGAGCACTTGGCCTAATTTACTGTTGCTGCAGAGCACATGCCCGTGTGTGAAGAGTGATGAGTTTTCTTTCCCTGGAGTCAGGGTTGTGCTCAATTCCAAAACAACTGAAAAATTCTTTACTAGATCTTCGTATTTTTTCAGCCATTCATCAATCCTACCTTTCTTGGTAATTTTAACTTGTCTCTCCCCCTGTTGAGGCCATGGCACCCAACTGTCCATGTCAGCTTGGCTGAGTATGTCCCCTTTTACCACAGGCTGGTCTGAAGGGGGGGGGGCTTAATGGCAGTGGCTGGAGGTCTGCTGCAAACAGTTTCTTCTTTCTGTCGTCTCTTCTGGCCATTCTAGTTAGTTGGCTTGTCAAAAGATACAAATGTATGAATATACATGCACATGCTTTCAGGGCATCATTTTAAGTGCTTCTGTACTGAACTGTATGGAAATATTTAGAGACCTGCACACCATTTTAGTAAAGGTGGCTCTCCCCCCTTGCACATTAGCCAATTAAGCTCTTTACTGTTTGTTGCAAACTGGCAGGAAAATGCTGCGCCTAGCACAGCCTCCCAGAGCTCCAGGCAGAGAGCATGCACCGCAGCCATGCTCTCTGTAAGGGATTAGCAGATCTTACAGCGGAGCTGAATCGTGAACTTCATTTCAATTGCTGTAATGAAATCTCTGGCTGGCTGCTAAATGAATTCCAACTCTTATTTTCCACAGCTGCATTATTAGCTTCGTCCTGCCCACAGAGGCTCGGGTCCTGCAGGTTTCTCTTCATGTTTCTCTGGCTCGCTGGTGCAGCTCGTAGTAGCCTCGCTCTGCTGGGGGCACTGGCACATCAGAGGCCCTACAGCAGTATAGCACCATGTCTGCTGGCTACTCTTTACGTTACTTTATAGAGCATGTGAACAGCGTTGGGAGGGAGCAGCGGCTTTCCACGCAGCGCTAGCAAATTATGCCTTTCTTCTGTAGCCCTCCTGCAGAGCCTGATGAACAGCAGAAATAAACAATGGATCTGATGGCAGAATGAAATGCAACTTCTTGTATGGAGAGAGAAGGGGAAGCTGAATGGGAGGAGCAGAAGCAAAGACCATTCTGATGCAGGTGACTGGGAGTAAAGGCAGGATCTGCCTATAGAGATGCTGCATCTTGAAGCCGAAAGGCTCCGCTTTCCAGGCCACTAAGCCAGTGGGGTATCCCAGAGGCAAGAGAGCAGAGTGCAAAGCTGGCAGCCGAGAGTGCAGAGGAGGCTGCACTGCAGCAGCCAGTCCACCTGACGTGAGGGGAGAGACTGCAGGAATAGCGTTTGCTCCATTTTCCACCCATCTCGAGGATATCTCTGCAGATTCACAGCCATTGGAGAGAACCTTTCTGACTGCCACTCCCTTGTTTCCATCAACTTCTCACAGTGCCATTGCAGGAGAGGCAGGAACCGAGTCAGTCTCTCTTCACCAGTGCGCAGGGCTGGGATGCTGCTGCTTGCATGCAGCACCCATGGGACAAGAGAGAGGGGTAAGCAAGAAAGACTGCCCCGCCTCCGCTTGCTGCAAATCTGCAACTGCAAAACAGTCTTTTAATGAACCGACAAGCTGAGCTCTTTGTACTGTGTGGTTTACTTGTAACAGTTTTTATTCTCTTAGACCTTAAGCGTGGCTATATTCCCCAGGTTTTCTAGGATAACAAATAAAAGCTAGACTGCTGAGTATCCCAGTGACATAGCTATTGCCTCGTGGGTATTTTTAATTGGGCACCACAGACACAGGATTTGAAACAGCTTCATTAGAGGAAAAAAACCCGCCTTTGGGATGGAGGCTTACATGAGCAAGAGCAGAGCTGACTTGCAGCGAGAGGAGAGAAGGGAGCTATTTTGTTTCGGTGCATGAGGGAAGGGGAAAGGGATCTTCTGGCAGTTCCTGCAGCAAAGGGGCTGGAAGGGACAGGAGATCCTCGCTGCCTGTGGAGTCAGGCAGCTCAGCGCCTTGTTGGCACACGTAGCCCAGGACAGCATTTCTCCTCCCGGGCACTGCGGTGGGACATTCAAGAGTAGGCAGATGAATGTAGCTGCGGTTTGTAACTTCACAGTGAGATTTCTAATTTCACGCCCAGCAGGCTCCAGAGTGGCTTGCCCTTCTTGGTATCCCACACCTTAGGCAACCCTGCTGCTTTCAGGAGGTTTGCCAGGTCACCTCTCTCTCTGTTTCTCGCCTTTCTCTCCTGAGACAGCTGGGTTATAATGTGTCTGGAATTAAAATATTCTGGCAGTGCAGCAGGGACTCGGTGATGTTCTGACTCCCTTTGGTGGCTGACAGCTTCCACTAACTGCCACCTCCAATCTTCTGGCTCTGAAAACACGGCCCTGGAGCGTCTCCTGAGAGTGGTGACAAGGACCCATCTGGCTGTTGGAGCCTTGTACGCGTGTGTGCATGTCCTGATAGGGACATGCTTTGTGTGAAGTGCATGTGAGGGGAAGCTGGATGCATAGACTGCTCTGAACCATGAGCCTGACACATCCCAGCGGGGCCACGTGGTGTAAAGGAGGGCTAGGATTCTCTTGCAAGGGCAGCTGGCCCTCAGAGCCTGAAAAGGTTGAGACGTGTCTCTGGGCCATTGTATGTGCTGCTGGAGATCAGCCAGCCCGTGTGTTTCTTTTCCCGTGGCTTCATCCACCCAGACAGATATTGTGCATCCACAGCACAGCTGGGTGGGTAGCTCGGATTTGGCAGCACACGCAGTGCACAAGCCTGGCTGGCGGGAGCATGGAGGCTGATTTGGGGACACAGGCGACAAAGCAGGAAAAGGCCTGAAATCACAGCTTTGTGCCCAGCTGGCCAGCTGCTTTTTGTGCTGGAGGATGGTGCCACCCTCTGGCTGTCTCACTGGTGACAGGCTGCACGTCCCACCTCGGGAAGGGCTGCGCTGGCTCCCGGGAGTGGCATGAAGCCTCCCTGGGCACCAGACCGCCCAGACCCTGCAACCTACTGACCTGAGCGCCCTCCCAGGGACATGCCTGCTTGTCTGACAGCACAGAGGATACAGAAATCGTCACTGTCAAGTGGCCACTTCTCAGAAGCTGCTGAGACACTGATCCCGTTAACTTGAAGAAGTGCCCATTTTGAATGAGGGTTTAACCCTCAGCCAACTCCAGTCCTCTTCTTCCCAAACAAAGATTGAGAAAGCCCCAATCTTTAAAGGGTATCTTAAAAAAAAAAAAAATCCAAGTCTGCTACAAAAATCAGGGCAATGGGAGCTAGAGGGTATTGGTTGTGGATGAGCGTTCACGTTTCTTTCTTCAGGTTGCCTCTCCCAGTTAGTAGGTCTGCTAAGCTTCAGTTCAGCTAATCTTTATGTGAACCAAAGAAGTCCCTTTCACTGATTTTTTGCCCATCTGTCCCATTTTTTACAGAGGGTGGTGAAGCACTGGCACAGGTTTCCCAGAGAGGTGGTGGATGCCCCATCCCTGGAAACATTCCAGGTCAGGCTGGACGGGGCTCTGAGCAACCTGGTCTAGTGGAAGATGTCCCTGCCCACGGCAGGGGGGTTGGACTAGATGGCCTTTAGAGGTCCCTTCCAACCCAAACTATTCTATGACTCCACGATTCCTGTCCCCCGTGTATGAACAGAAGATGACTTTGGGCATTAAAAAAGCCAGACCGAAAGGATCTTAAATGCTTCTTGGAGAAATGACATGCCTGTACCTCTGCTGATATGCTCCCTGCTGTTAGCTGCCAGCGGGGCAGCTTGCCTCCTCGCTCTGCCAAATCAAACCCAGATGTGTGTTTTGATAAAACAACAAGCAGGAGGGAGCGGCAGCAGGAGGTCTCACTTCTGGTTTGCGTACATTCAGGCTGCAAGGCAAAGGCTGACCTGTTTAGCAGAGGGAAAAGGAGCGTATTCAGCTCAGCGACCAGTGAACCGTTTCTCTGAGATTTCAAGCCAGAAATTAAGCGAGGAAAGCCAGGATGAAGATAGTGGCCCTCTGCCAGCTCTGGACTAGGAGCCTCTCTGCTGTGCTATAGATATTTCTGCATGGCTCACCTGGAAGGCCTCTGGTAGAGGGGCCCTCTGTAGCCCCTGTCAGACCAGCCATTCTGCTGCAGTAGAAATACAAGCGCTACTTGCTATCAAAGGGATTTTATCTAGGAGTAAAGGGAAGGAAGAAAAGAAGTCACCTGCTTAATGCTCTGGCATACATTGCAAATATAAAAGCATGCTTTTTTCCCATAGCAGCATAGCTCTAAAAGAGCATTCAAAAGAAATCTGCAAAAAGAGGAGATAGGAATGCCCTTTCCGTAGGTCTGTCCCTACCTCGTGCTGAGGGTTTGCCTACTATCTGTGCTTGGTAAAGCATGATGTTAAGTTACGCGTTCAGGCGCTTAATTTCTACACTGGTGCTTAGGCAGTGCAGCGAGTTACCGTGCAAGGGCGAGTGAGGGCTGGGAGTCTGTGGGTAAGCCCGGACGGGCACGTCCCAACAGGTCCTGCCACGCGGCCCCGCTCCTCGCTGGGGCCACCACTCCCTTCGCGGGGACCGACCTTCTCCGGGCTGCAAAGCGAAGGGCTGCGCTGCACCGTGCGAGAGGGATTTTGCACAGCGTCGGCTGAGCTGGGCCAGGAGAGGGACCCCTTGCTGCACCCTGCGAGGCGAGGGGAGCTCGGCAGGCACGGGCAGCCCCAGCCCAGCGCGGCTCGAGGGCGGAGTCAGCTCACACCAGCGGCCGCGGCCGTTCCTGCCCCTCGCAATGCCCTGGGTTATGCTAGAGGGAGAGGGACAGCAGCCGGCTGTACCCCGGGGGTGGTGCTGCAGACACCGAGCGGTGAGCGGGGCCCGGGGCTGGGGCGGACGCGGGCTCCGGCTCCTGCTCTGAGGGCTGATGCCTGCCGGTTACCCCGAAATGGCGGGTCAGCGAGGCACCGCCCCTTCGTTTGCATAGACACGCCCCCCCAAGCGCCCCTCCTGCTGACGCTGCGTCAAGAGCGTGGCCGGCGGCCGCGGTCCCC